GTTACATAGTGGTTCAAAAATAAGATAGTATCAAGTTTTTCACTAACCTACAACTGAAGCAAAGTCAATCAATAATTCCTTTACAAACTATGAAAGCTTCACAAGTTAACTTCTACCTAGCTTTAATATGTCAGCAGCCTGTAAAAAAAATTTAAAACAAACTATAAAATTCAAGATGGAAAACATGCCCAATACCAGCCACCTTATTACGAACAACACAGAATGGGAAATCACAAACATGAAATTCAGAATTCGTGTATATATATATATATGGTAAACTAACAATTATGAAAAACAGCTTTACAAACAACAAGTTTTTTTGGCTGTGGAAATTCTCAACTAAGCACAGATTGGAATATCATCTTATCTAGACACATATGAAAGTATTCTCATAGGTTTAAACCAACAATACAAACCCACTTATTAGCAAGCAAAGTATTGTGGTGAATGCCTAAGTGATGATAATCTACCATATGGATGGGTAAACAGATCTCAACAACTGGCACTATTATTATTGGACACAAAAATAAACAATCGGAGGCAAAAAAAATGCAGAAGATACACACAAAAAGTAGCTCTTAAAAAGAATTTAAATAGTCCTTGCAATACATCAGAATTCAGGGACTATTAAAAAATTATAATCTTGTTTTATTTTAAAAAACAACCTGTGAAGCTACTGAAAAATGTAACTTGAGTCTTGCCTCCTTTTTAAATTACACACAAAACTCCTTTCCCTCCAAATTGTGTTGTTATGATATGCTATCAGTCAGTTTCATTACAGTAAACCTTCATTACAGTGTAAAATTCCAGCATAAACCTCTCCTCATAGTGACATCACCTTCTTTAAAATTTTTATTTATGGGATTTTCTTTGTTAAAAATTTTGCAAAATATAACAAAATTGAGAAAAACAACATAAAACCACTAATTATTTCTTTTAACTTAAAATTTGAATAAAATAGAAAGCATTATTTTATTTGTTATTACGTACAAAGCTACACAATGGGCTATCTGTGCTATGTCCACCACTGGTACTGAAACCTGGTTTTTAACATTATAAGCCTTCAGACTTACCAAAAAGCCAATGGGGGGCCAGGAAGCATTAAGCACTAACAATAGTATTTGATGTTAAGTAATAAAATACTTCTACAACTTCCATACAGCATTTGAAAAAAACAATAGATAAAACTCAAAATCAACTGCAACTAGTAGCATCTCAATTTACTATATAGCTAAATATATCCAGATGCTGTTACTAGCCAAATGATTAATATAGCTGTCAGTCAGCAATATTACAGCCAATTAAGTACAAAAGTATCTCAAACTGTTACTCCTACTCATATTAATGTTTAGAAGAAATTTCTTTATATTACACTGACCATGAATATCTCCAAATGTTGTTTCAAGTGAAGTCACTGGTTTCAGAACATGTTTAGTTCATGTGAAGATTATTTATTGAGCAGGTTATATGCTAGTGCACTCACACATACACAATTTACTGACCGAGAGAAAATACCTATTATATATACAAATTGCAGCCATGAAACCTTTTCCACCATTTTTATTTATTAAAAATCCCTTATGTCATTATCACGAAACATTCAAACTACGTATTAAAGCGGAATACATGGCAAAAAGATTTATCAAGTACCTATACACACAATTGTACATAAAAGGTTACGTTATTTTATTTAAGCCGCACAGATAAGATAGCTGGCTTCAGAACATTGCCCCCCTTGGTTTTATATCTCTCTGCTTCTCACAACCAAGTATTTGAAAATGTGATGAATTATTTACAAGTTAAACTATTTTTTGTCAATGTGATAAGTTGGCAGTTAGAAAACAAAAGAAAAATACAAAGAAAAACCTAACTATATACAACTTTCAGCACTTTGCAATTTTTTAAGAGCAAGAGTAAAAAAAACATACAATTCTGTAAACAATAAAGATAATGCAAAAAACAAAAAACTGATACTTTTAATGAACCTGCATTGTTCATCACATTTTGGTTATTTTCATTATAAAATAACACTTAAAATCAAATTACTGTGCAAATCCATCACATTCACGAGATAACAAGCACTGATACTTCAAATCACACAGAAGTGTATACATCTTTTGACAAAACAGTTATTTTTGTTTGTTCAAATGAATAACTAAAGACACAGAAGAAACTTCAAGATACATTATTCTTTCAAAGCATTTTTAATATAACTGAAGTTGATAAAATATCAAGCGAAATTTTTATTTCGTGATCATTTCATTAAATGTTATATACACCTTTCCATCATCATGTTTTAAAAAATGATTTTTTTCAATGAATTTAAATGAAAATTCTCATGTAAGTACACAAAAAAACTTGTCTTAATTATCATTCATGTTTATATCAGCATTACCACTGAGCATCATTAATCCAGAAATTATTTGTATAACTTGTTTTTGTAACAAAATTTAGAACACACTATATACTTTAATGACATTTTACCTGCTACTAATTCACACAAAATTACCTTCAATACACCTGTTAGTTGTGATCCAAAGAAACAATAACATAGTTAGTTTTTACTGGAAAACAATGTTACCAAGTTTTCTATACACAAAAATACTATAATCCAGTTTCTAGTAAGAGATGATTTATTGAGAGCTACATTAAAAAAGACTGCACCAAAAGTCAAATGGCACATGACAATAAATTCACCTCACATACATGTATTGCTTAACTACATTTGTGAAACACATTAGTCAGTAATGTTCCTTCTATTAACAAAAACTAAGAAAACAAGAAAATAATTTTCTTTACTGCAAGATATAGAACAATTCTTGTCATTATCAACATTTGTTTTAAAAGTTAACTATAGTTCGTATGTTTCAAAACAATAAATAACTCATAAACCATTGGTAAAATATTACAGACCTTTACCAGCAAGCTTTCAAATGCAAATTGTATTTTCTAATTAGGAATGCACAACTGAATGAAAATTGAAACAACCATTTCAAGTTACTGTATCTTGGTTTTAATTTCCATATTCTTTATACATAAACCAATTTTGACATAAAGGTAATGTATAGCTTCAATGAAAATAATTTGTTTCTGAAAAATTACAGAATATTTATTGATAATTTCATTTTATCCAGTTTTTCTTATAGATGCCAAAGAATAAATTAAGACTTACTTTCTAAACCTAACTACATGAATTAAAATCTTGTGTGTGTTTTTCTTTCAAGTCAGAATTGAAAATACAAAGTCTTTAAGAAACATGACTATCACTGTTTAAACAGTACAAATGATTCAGTTGCATTACAAACTTTGGTCCCTTTGTGTACACAATTAATGAGTTTTTAATGTAATGACAAGAAGTGTAAGGATGTTGTCAGTTATTTTGAATAAAAGCACAAGATTTCTAGTTTTTCCACAGTATTGTTTATGTTCAAATAAACTAAATCATAATTCCATAAATTCATCTTATTCTAACAGAGTATGAAACAGATCTTAGGAAGAAACATATTTACCTTGAGATATCTTCCCGTACTGGATGAACCATAATACCAACAGTAACCTTTGTCCATCAATCAATGAATTTTGATATCACAAAATGGTCACTATTTTACAGTTGATGTATTTCATATGTACATTTGTACACAGCTTACAGCAGTGTGGTCTCTAAATTTTGGCTTCAGTTATGATATAGCATCAAAATTCTGTATTGCAAGTAGACACTGAAGAATAATGAGCCAATAAGTCACATGATGCTAACACTGTCCATCCTGAAAAATAAAACCCAGCTAACCTGATTCTGAATCACTACTGTCAGATGAGGTACTTGTGCTGCTACTACTGGAGCTATCACTATCACTTGAACTACTACTGCTGGCACTTAGACGAGTTGGACCACCAACATCAACATGAGAATTCTCAGGATCTGAGAAATACAAAAATATTCAAATAAATTACTAACTGCAAAAAAATTATAGCATGATGAAATTTTTTCTTATGTATGAAGAAACAACTTAAACTAGGTTAGAAATTACAATGAATCTTTGACAAATATTTGACTTCATCCTTTATCCAAAAAAGAAAATTATTCTCCGATATATAGCTTTCAATAGATACATTTCACAAGATTTCCCCAGCTGGTTTGAAGTTATTTAATATTTACTTAAATCCTTATATTTTAATAATCAAAAGTTATGATGGTTTATTTTTTAAACATACCAATGCCAATCTCAAGTTAATCACTAAGTGATGAACAAAGAGAATATCATAACTCAAATGTTATGGTTAGTGTATTTGGCACTCGTTCTATTAAAATAGTAAATAAGGTAGTTTCACAATTTGTTAACGGTTTCAGTTTTATTTAGTATGTTAATTCAAGTTGTTCCTTTTCACAGATGTTATATATGGGGAAAGAGTCCACCTATCCCCATCCAGTAAGCCAAGTATTAAAAATCTTGAACATATTTCCTCAACAAATGTATTTTTAAAACAATTTTCACTGCTATTTGCTACATGTATAAGTTGATAATCAATGAACCTTTACAATACACTTTTCTAAAGTATTTCACTAAAAAAAACATTCTTTGAACTTCTTTTACTTCTATTACCAATGATTCCATGAGAACACCACAATATTCTACAGTCAATAAGTTTAATCTTCCTATTACTAATGATTCCATGAGAACATCACAATATTCTACAGTCAATAAGTTTAATCTTCCTATTACCAATGATTCCATGAGAACACCACACAATATTCTACAGTCAATAAGTTTAATCTTCCTATTACCAATGATTCCATGAGAACACCACAATATTCTACAGTCAATAAGTTTAATCTTCCTATTACCAAGACATCAAACAGAAACATATTGCCAATAGTTAATGTTTCGCTCAATTGTTGCAAGTAACATGTCTATGATATGTGGAAAAAATTATAAATAACCAAAATACAGTGATGGACCATAAATGTACTCATGTCAAACTTCTCCATATGGAATCCATAAGGCTTCGGGCTATTTGGTAAATGCACGTCATGTTTTACAGTTACAAAATGTAATTAAACAATTTTATTATCATTTTATATCAATAAGCTTGGCATCACTTGTAGTTTAAATTACAAATTTTTATATATTATCTAAGTTTGTACTTTTTTAGTTTCAAAAATAAATACTTAAAAAAATTTTCAATCTTCACTTCTTCCATTTAGTTCGTACAACTTTAATGTTATAATTTTCGTAATCTGAAAATGGATTTCCAAACATACCTCCGCTGACACTTACAGCTAGAATAGCATAATAAGGGCATAGTTTATACAGAAAGTGTCTGCATAGAAGAAAGGTGTACCATGAGAAGTGGTACCAAGTGGGTGAGGAAGAACTTCCAAACCAAACTCATAATTCTGTGTTGCACCAACCATGCCACATGTGGCCTTGCATTGTCATGGAGAAGAAGAACACCTTTTTGAATGACGAGTGAAGAGCGTTTATGATAAAGGGCTTGATTTAAATGTTCCAGATGCTGACTATAGATCTTTGCATTGACAGTTCACTGTGGATTGAAGAGTTTGAAATCAATTACTCCTTTGATGTCCCACCATTGGCCATTGTTTTTGGCATTTAATATTCACATAGAGAATCCATTTTTCATCACCTATGACAATTCTATCCAAAATTGATTCACGCGCATTACATGGCAGAAGAGACGAAGCAACGTTAAAACAATGATCATTGGAGAGTTCCCGAGTCACCCAAACACCAAACAACCTAAGACCCAATAATGTTCATAAGAGGGTCCAAGCACACCCCCACCAGATAGCTAAGCATCAAATCTGGACTGGTTTTACGAGTATGCTCTGGCATAGGTTGGTACTGCTTCTACCGACATCTGGGAAAAACTTCCAAGGACCCAGGTAGGAGGATCCCCAACTTCTCCCTCTTCTCTGAGAATGAAGAAAACTCAACACTCTGAAGGAAAATCCTCTGTCCACCACCCCAGCAACTAGGAACTGAGTGTGGTAAAGACATCCTAGCTCCATTAGTAGAATTTGGGGCAGGATATGTGCACGGAGGGGAGACCTGAGGAACAGGCCTCCGGAAACAGTGCAACAGGTGAACCATGTTCCCTAACTTTTAAAGCAAACCGATAGATTATTACTATTTAGAAATAAGTTTTTAAACTTATTTTTCTTAAAACATAGAATAGAAAATAAAGAACTAAAGCAAACAATTATCTCTTCTAGTTACGACCTTTGTACTAGGTTGCTAAGCCTTTTAAAATTTCGCACATGGAGGATATGAAAATAAATAATTTTTTAAGGTTTTATATATATATATACAGTTGAATACTCAAAAAAACATATATTACTATATAAATACCATAGAATTCCACTATAATTTATCAAACTTAATACCTAAGCTGTACATGGGTCTAAAAAATATGAAATTTCGAGCAAACTAAAGAAACAACATACCTCCTTGAAATCTTGGTTTGAAAGAATGAGATGGCATCCTAACACATGAAAATGGCTGAGAAAGCCACTAGGGGGACATTTTGGGTTTTTGATTGGTTATTTCTGTCATATATTGAAGTAAGTGTATATAGAGGAACTTTTCCAAAATTAGAAAGAGGTGAGCGGAGCCACTGTGTTTGATTCAGTACATGAGTGATATCTCAGTAAATAGATAAGATATTAGGTTCTTATTTTATACTTTAGCTTGTCAATATCGGTAATTTGAGTTCCTAATTTGTACGAAACTATAGAATCAAGGACGCATCTAGAGTTCTCTCCCAGATGAATCCCCGTGTTGAGAGAGTTAATATAATAGAGTATGTAAGAACTTATAATAAAATAGATATTTTTTGTAAAACCTCAGTCTCAGAATTGGTTTCTTTAGTCTAAACATAAATATCATCCAGTTAGTGACTTGTGAGCTTCACTCATCACTGCATTCCTTAATTAAATAAAATTGGTGTAATTGGCAGTAAAGTTGAAGATCCAAGGACTAGCCCTAAGGGCACTGCCCATTACAACTGGTGCAGTCTTTGAGGATTTTGGAGTATTTAATGATAGGTTGGTTAGAGTAAAGAAACAAGTAAAAATAAGAAAGTCAGCCAAAGGCACTATAAGTAGTATAAGTTAAAAATAAGTAGTAAGTATGTGAATGTGGTTACTGCTGGTGTAGACATGACTACAGAAGAGGGTGGTGCATGCCCTACAACTGATAGAAGGGCTGATGCTAATTATGAGGCTGCAGCAGAGCAACCCACACAAGTAGGCCCATGTGGAGCTATGCATTTAATGAGCTCTATACCACTGCATCATGGAAGACTCAACAAAGATGTTAAGGGCTTTAATGATGCTCTGAATCAAGCTGCCAGAATATCAGGTTGGACTGATGCCCAAAGGCAGACATTTTAAGATTATGAACAGCAGGAGAAGCAAAATGTTGTATTAGGTCTTAAAGTGACCTCCGTGAAATCACAAATTTTCAGTATCTAATACACAGATTAGTAGAGAAATATAGAAAGCGAGAAACACCAAATGTGATTTTAACAGAAATACATAATTTAACTCAGCAACAAGGTGAATTTATCCGAGTATTTGGACATATAAGTTGCAGGAGTTAGGAAATAGATTGTGCAGAGCTTACACACACACCCAAATGAATTAATGACACCAGACACCTAAAAATCTGATTATGAATGAAATTTGTTTAGTAATGCAGCTTGAAGTTATGTAAATAAGATGAATACACCCACGCAAGTTTGCTTGATTTGACTGAAGTAAATACTTGAGAAGAGCTATGAGAAAAACAGATATACAGACCTAAAAACACTAAACACTCTGCTGTAAATGTAGTAAGTAGTAACAAATCTAGTAAAACAGATTGATAAAATAAGCAAAGTAAGCCCGACGACTTGCAGTCTTTTAACTGTGGCAAGGTTGATAACATGGCAAAAAACTGTTTTCAGAAAGAGAAAAGAAATGAGCAGATGGCATGTTTTAATTGTGGTATTAAGGGCCACATAGACCGAAATTGCCAATGCTCACAAAAGGCAGAAAACAGAAAAGTTCCAAAGGCTGGAGCTTACAGAGCAAAGTTCCCAAAAAATAATGGTAGCCCTACATTCGCTATAGAATCAAAAATCTGTTGGGATTACAGAGTGACAGTAGAGGTAATTCCAGCAGTTTGGAATAAGAGATTAAGTGTCCATAATGTAAATGAAAAATCACCAATAGTTGTAATAAAAATAGAAGGTATATTATGTCAGTTATTGGTTGACACAGGCACTCGAATTTCACTACTAAGTGCAGAACTAGTAGATAAAAATCCAACATTACTATATAATTCTTGGAAAGAAGTTTCTACAAGTATTTTAACTTCTATAACAGGACATCCTGTTAAAACACTAGGTAAACATAATGTTCACATGAAAACAGGAGAGTTAGAGATAGAACACTCATTTTATATCTGTAAGCAGATGGACTTAGAAACAGATGGTATGAAAGGGCAAGATTTCTTAAGGGCTTATGACACTGAAATATCTCTTACTTCTGGTAAGCTATGCATAGAAATGGAGATCTTAAGCTTTGAAGGACTTGAACTTTCAGACTTATGTGCAACAGTCACGACAAATGATACATTCCCACTGACTAAAGCTAATAATCAGCATTAGCAAGGATAAGTATCAAAAGACAAAAGCACTGATCTCCCAGAGTGTAGCAATAAATGATAAAATTGGAGAAGTAAGAATAATAAGTGTTTAAAAAGAAATCCAGTGAGTAAAAATAAACAGAAAAGATCTAACCCCAGCATAAGATATAGTGGTAGTAGTAATAAGAGAATGAAGAATTAAGTAAGTAATAGTTAAATAAGGCAGAATAAGTTAGAAAATAAGACTTTAAAACAGGGAAGTAGTAATTCAAACTCCTCAGATGACTACAATTATGCCTAACATAACAGAGCATCCCAAGAGCAGTGTTTGAAAGAAAGAGTACCGGTAAGATTAGTTACATTAACTGAAGTACCTGCAAGAAGTCAATTTATTGTTGAAGCTAAAGTAAATGACTTTAAGTATAATGAAGAAGTGTTAGTTGAACCTATTGAGATAGAAGAAGCAGGAGTATGTATAGCCACTTGTACTAGTAAAGTATCTAAGAAAGACACAGTACCTGTAAAAGTGTTAAGCATAAATGAAGAAAAAGTAATACCACCTAAGGATATAGTGGTAGGTAAGTCTAGTAGAAGAGTACATGTAGCTGCAGTAGGACAGCATAATGTTAAAAATACTAAGAAACAGGTACAAAAAGTAAGATAGATTGGTATTCTATCTTAGGAAATGAAGAAAAAAACATAAGCAGGGTTTGATAACATTGTTAGAAGAGTATAGGGATATATTTGTAGGAGAAAATGACCCTAATGGTTGTACAAAATAAAGTTAAACACAAGATAGTATTGAATGAGAATAAGCCTATAGTACAAAGACCCTACAAAGTGCCATAAAAACATAAGGTAGAATTAAACTGCTGCTGCTTCTTCTATCCCTACCTACCAATATCCACTTTGTAAATCCATTGATGAAAAGTTCTTACTTTTACCTGACCTATTTAATGTTTCTTGGATATTAGGTAGTGGGTAAATTTCTTTGACTATTACACACCGTTCACTTTCCAAAAATCTGCACAGAACCTTAATTTTCTATCCTTCTTAGGAAATAATACATCTGGCTATGCATACGGCTATTACTATCCTTTATTTTATTTTATTAAAAATACTTCCCTAAGAAACATGACTTTTTTTTGCATGTGAAAGACTTGTAATATTAACTGAAAGACTGCCAAATTTTGTCAAGATATACCCAAAATATTGAGATTTATAAGTATTAAACATAAAAAGACTTTAAACGAGTACAAAAGGTTACATGACTAGGTCAAATTGACCGAACCTGTATTGAGAGAGTTAAAAAGAATGCCAAGTCTAACGACACCTTTTCAGTTAACAGCTATGGATATATTACGCCCGTTGCCTACGTCTTACGTAGGAAACAAAAGTGTTAATAGTCGCAGATTACTAGACAAGATTTCCTGAGGCAATATGCTTACCTGATCAGAAAGCAGAAACCATTGCTAAAGCATTTGTGAATAACATAGCAGCTAGACATGATATACCACAGTATTTACTAACAGACAGAGGTAATAACTTCATATCTAAGTTAATGAAGGAAATTGTGAATTACTTGGTATAAGGAAAATTGAGACAACAGCTTATCATCCAGCTTCTAAATGGTTTAGTATAAAGATTCAATAGAACTTTGTGAGACATGATCTCTAAATACTGTGAGAAAAATCAGAAAACTTGGGACAAGCAGATACCTTTAATGGCTGGAGACGGCTTGAATGGGTAATGAAGAAAAACTTTAACATAACAGCAATTTGTTAAAGCAGCAGTTCATTAAGACCAAAAAGAACAAGCATTATTAAAATCTCAAAGAGAACTTGGTTGGAAATTACACTCTTTTTGATTTCTATTAAATCATTATTATTCGAGAAACTCGCCAAGCACTATGTACCCCTTGAGAGAACAATGGACTAAGCTTTTTTTCCATCACATACTATAGAACCATACACTGGCAAAAGGTTTTTTCATGTTATTAACTAAATAATGGGAAATCTGCTCTTTCTGTTGGTTATAAGCATGCCAATCAACTGCAAACTGTCACTTAGCAACACAGCCTCGACTTGGCAAGTGGGTGTGGCTGACCTTAAACTTAGAAATACTTAGTGTGTTTCACATTGGGAGGAATTCTTGAAAAGTTTCCAGACAGTAATGAAATACAACTGCAAATATACTTATGATCCTACAGTCGATATAAGCTAATCACAGTTTCTTGTATAAGAACTCTTAAAAGTTGAGAATTGTAACCACGAGCAGGTCATGTGACAGCAAAAACTGCAGTTTTAATTGCTGTTTTAGATGTTTCTTTTTAAAATTAAAGAATAAAACTTAGATAATATAAAACTTTAAATTATAACATACTTGATAATAGTAATTTCATTAAAATACATTTGTAGTAAAGTGATTTAATTAAATTTTGAATGTAACTCAGTAACAAGCACAGAATGGGGTTTAAAAATGGTGTTGTTTCTATCAGGTTAAACAACTATATTATTGAACGTATGTCAATAAAATGGGCATCAAAATGTAGATTACAATTAAAACTTTAATATTATATAAGTTTTAATTTCATAATTCAACAAAGGAAATACTTATATAAATTCTCAATCTTCACTTGATGCCTCTCTGCTCTGAATATTTTTCATTTTCTTTCTTCCCTTATATAGATATTTCACATTTCTCAACTTTCAGACTAGTCAGAGCCTGAGTCACACTGACTCAGTATATTCAGACAAATCTTTATTAAAAATTTTGATTTTGCATACAACAGACTTTGCACTTATACTAAAAGCTTAACATATTTTGTGAAGATGCACAATATAGATTTAGAATTATAGTAAGTATGAATTCTCCAGTACTGATTTGGTCTAATCGACCAACCCCGTGCACATAGGGTTAATTCCCTTTCATTTTCACAATTATAAACTGAAGAAAACAAAATAGTTTCTTTTATTATATATATATATATATATATATACATACATACAGACAGACAGAAAAAAAAAGACATGCCTTTCTTTGTAGGTTTCTTAGAGGATCCTAATTGCCCATTAACATCTTGTAACCTTTTCTCCAGTTCTTGCTTTTTTCTTTTACCTGTTCTTCTTTCGATTTGGCAGATGTTTTGCTCTTTGCTGCTTGTACAAGATAAAAAAATCTTTATTATATATTTTATGGAACATGAGGGCATTTGAATGTTTACTTATTTCAAATTTTAGCTATTCAAATATAAAAGAAATTATTTTCGTTTAACAAAAAAAAAAAAGAAGGCACAAATAATTTTATTTGAATTCCAACATTTTAATGTAAAAGAAAAAAAAAAATCAAATTTTCTTTATGTTCAATATATTAATATTTACAGCTAAGTACATCAGGTTCTTTAAGTAAATGAATAATATAATGTCACCCTGCACTTGCATGACTTACAGTATGGTTTCCTTGGTTTTTTTCGTAAGCATGAGGCTACATATGCTTCCAGTTCACGAAGTGTTGAAGGCTTCAGTGTTTCAAAATCAATTTCTATCTCATCTGGGTTGGAATCTCTAAGGGAAGGTTCCCTGGACTGAATGATATGAACCACTCTGCCTAATTTGTCACCTGTATTATACAAGTTAAAAGAATAAAAAAAATATAACAATGTGATGGAGCTTTTTACAGAATTATAAAAAACAATTTTTTTAAAAGGCACAAAGTGAAATAGGATTATATAGCTTTATGGTGTAGTAAATATAAAATTATATTAACAGCAAACTGTATCAACCCTAAATTTTTCAAAATGGGCATCATTTTGTAATGCATGTGAGGAGATTTTAATAAGTTACAATCAAAATTTAATTAAACTATTTTCTTATAATGGTACATTTGGCATACAAATGTAGCTAATAATCCAAATTTTAGCATTATATAAGTTTGAAGTTTTTAATTATATAAGGTAATACAGGTACACCACCGATTTTTCGGCACCCTTGGTTCCATAGCCTTGCCGGATTATCCGTTTTGCCAGACCAACATAGGTCACGTAATAATAATTCAACAATACACCATTGACCCACTAATTATAACTCCTGTATCTCTAAAGCACCATGGACTGCTAGAAACTAAAGTAAAACAAATATTAAATGTGAATTAAATGATTAATGAAATACATTAGTGCTGTTATAAATGATATAGGTTTATTAGTACAGTATAAATGAAAACAGTTTATTAATTACTGTATTTTAAAAGAATGTTGCAGTAGTATCGCTTCCAAAGTGGCAAATCTTAGAATTTTACTGTTGTTATTATTATTGTTATTTTACGTTATATTTTGAATTTTCATACAATATTATCAACATTCTATGTTGAAAAAACTGAAGAAAAAATCAAAACTAAATATTTGTATCTTGTTAAACTACATATTCTTGGCAACATTCATGGAATTTGATCCACTAGTTTGATATTTATAAGAAAATTGCATGAGAGTGACGTACCTACTTAAAATGTAAGTAGCCCTTCCAGAAAGAGTGTGCACCACATGCAATGCTATCAGTGGCCACCCAGTGAAGTAGTCTGGCAGTCACTGGAATTTCAAGTGCACTCTCGTAATTTTGTCCGGATTAAAGGAGGTGCCGGACCATCAGTTGCCAGAAAATTGGTGGTGTACTTTAAATTTGTAAAAAATCTCATTTTCCCCTAGTGTGAGAATTGTGACATTTGCTCTCAAAGTATCCCCTCTTCTCGGGTTTATTTATCACCCCTCCAAAAAGTATGAAATTTAACATAAATTACTCATTATAATATCATCACTACTCAGGCAAAGCATAATTTTCATAGCCTTCAATCTTATTTGGTTACAGAGCCATGAAATAAACAATCAGATGCCTCTTGCCATGCCCACCTGTCACATACTGTCTTTCAGAAATTGCTAATAGTTCCCTCTGATGTTAAATACTGCAATATTTATAACCAACAGAAAGCCGTGGTTTTCATCAATCAAATGACATATTATATTACATTGTTTCCTGTAAGGAGAATTGTCAATTTTGCTTTCAGTTCAAGCTTGATTCCCACAGGAAACATACTGACAAGCTTATCACATAGTCAGAGAGCTAGAAAAATTGTGATAGTTATGGGATATTGTCTATTTGTTGTATGCTATTATTCTGTGTTTCTAGGTGCAGTATTTAATTGAATAAATAATATTTAGTGCAGCAGTACCATTAGTATAAAAAAGTAGGGTTAATTGTCATTGACAGTCAATAACAAAAAAAAAAAAGACCCAGGTAAGTATTTTATTTTTCATGTGTATTTTTTATTCATTATTATAAAAGTAACTAAAATATAAAAATAGGAATTAGAAACTTTTTAGGTTATATTAGGTAGCCCATGCATTATGTAATTCAATAGGGTAACATGAGCTCCAAGTTCGCCAATTGATTTTCAAATTTTATCGTGGGAATATTAATTTAGACACAGCTCAAAGGGCAATAAAACAATAAAATTTAAGTATAAATAGATGTATACTGTTATTGTATTATTCTATATATTATATCAGTACATACACAAAACAATGTTTCAAAATATATCTTATAAAAGTGTACAGAGATTTCGTCAAAGTTCAAACAAGTTAAAATCTTTAGAATGCCTTTAACATCTCTACACTACAGGCTGACCTTTATTATTGTTTCTTTTAGGCTTATTTTTCTTGATTAAAATGAATTATTTAATCTCTCTGTCAAGAAAACTGTGACATTTCAATGTTCAAAATGAGAGTTACATACCAGGTTGTCCAACAAACAACCTTTGGGTCAATTATGGTTATCCACACTTGAATGAACAAGTTAACTCACTAATAAAAATTACAAACATGGTGTTATATTGTCCTAAACCAAGTATTACTCTATAAAGCTCATTAGAACAGGTATGCTCCTCATCTGGAACCTAAATCATGGACTGCAGGTGGAATTTGACGTGATCTGTCATCACCAGTGGACAGGCCCCATCCAGGTAGCCGAGGTCCCACTGCTCAGGGTTGGAATTATAGGGCTATGGCCCCTAAATCCCACATTGGTGGCTATGGCATTTGGACTGCAATATAGATATGTGTGTGTGTGTGTGTATGTGAGTGGATCTCAACCTGTAGATATGCAGTGATGCATTCCGAATTACTGGAATCATGAGAAGGTAAGCAACATTGAAGTAGACAAACCTTCTCCTCAACCTGGAGAAGTCTGAAAGGCAACTCCCCAAATTTGGAGTGACAGGATCCTGTATGCCATATTCAAACTGAAAAAACAGAGATCTCATCCAGTCCGGAATTATGAACACTCATCCTCACTTCTCAACTGTGTGGACAAGGTAAATTCTATTTGTCCCTGGAATTATGCGGAGAACATGGAACAAACTGTGCTCAACCAAGGACCCACGATGGACCATTCTGTGTTCACAATTACAAGGAGACAATGGACTCTCTTCCATGAACAATGTACTCAGCCAATACTTATTGAAAAGAAGGGCCATGCTCAACCTAACCAGATAGTTGAGCATCAAATCTGATCCAGTATTATAAGTAAACTGATGCACAGGCTTGTGCCGCTCCTACCGACATCTGGAAAAAAAAACATCCAGGGTCCTGGGTATGAATGCCACCCAACTTCACCCTCTTTCCAAAAGATGGAGAAAACTCACTCAAACATTCTGTACCAACCCCAATTTATGCAATCCACTGATCAGCAAGGACAGGCAGAGTCTCCTTATGTTTACTCATGATAGTGCATGAGTGGCATTCCGGCATAGTACAGCAATATTATCCGGTTTTATGGAACACCTTATTTCTACAGATACTGTTGCAACCAAGATAAAGTGCATTGTGTTAGTGGTTGCCAGTGTGGATTTGGTTTGATAAAAGCACACCTGACTGGGCAACACTTGCCACAGAGTGGGATCCTGTGAAAAAGAGATAAGAGAATCTGGAAAGGAAAGAAGAGATGAGATTAGTAATGAAAATACTCTCATATCTTTCTAATCTAGTGGATGTGGTTAATATAGCTACAGGGGGTGATCGAAAACCCTCAGAAGAAGATACTGTCAGATCATGCAAACAATACGAGACAAAAGTATTGAAGGAGGTCAACATACCAACCCACACAGCTGGTCCTCCACCAACCAATTCAACTGGGCCATTGAGGACAGAGAAATGTGACAAATCTGATGAAACATGGCTCACAGAAGTCTCATCACCTCCAAAGAGAGCTCAGAATAAGAAATATGGATCAATTTCTGGACCCACTCCATCAAGGTAATTGGGGATAAATCCCAGGAAACTGAAGGGTCACAATGAATAAAAAGCCATTGTCTGACACCTCTAAAGAATTTAGTGCACTTCAAGGCCCTCACTGGACATAATAAACGATTGTGATCTGACTGGTCATAGAGGTGAAAAATAGCAGTCAGATGAATCAGTGAAAAGGATTTATCCCCTTCCCTGGCTGCCAATGTCGTAGGTAAGAATAACCTGTTTGGGTACAGGAGAAGCTAGGTAGAATGATAAAACATCCTGTGCACATGCAACACAAACAACTCTGATGAGCAACGACTGCAGCTCAGCGGCAACAAAATATAAACCTGAAAGGAAAAGTGATACATGAGGCTAAGGGCTCAGACAGATGTCAAGAAAAAGCATGTATCACCACTTATATATTACAGTTAGGTAACTGAAACAGTCATTTAGGGCGAAAGACTTGAAAAGGCTAGGGAGCATTGGGGACTCAAAGAATTTTCATCTCTACATGTATCTAAAGGTAACCAATAAGGCCGCCTTATATAGTGATTGTGGAAGATGCGAAGCCCTTGTCAAAGAACCATGTCAAAAACTGCGCTATAGTTGGCATGTCTGAACAAAGTGGGTTCAACCTCCTTACAATACACCATTGTCGATATGTGTGCCATTTCCATTGATAAACGACCATCCTTAGAAGTTAATCCCGGGTGCTGTGCAAAGGACCACATAACCTCCATGCATGAAGCTTGAGCTATGGGATGGATTGGTGTAAGATGTCAGATCGTTGCTGCCTCAACAGAGACAGCCAAAGAGGAAGTGGAAGAAGTGAGCACTCCTGAAGGTACTGCAAAAGTGGAAATCAGGGTTGAGCCAACCAATCCAGTGCTATCAACAGAACGCAATAAGGGTAATGCCCAAGGGTGAGGTACCAGAGACCAAAATGCCAGTAGTTGAGTGTTCCAATGAGTGGCAAACACATTTATCATCAGTGAATAAAAGACTAGAACAAACGAGAAAAAATCAGATGGGCATAGGAAGAGAAACCCTAACAGTCAAGTAATAGCTGTAATGTGAGTTGAAGAAAGTATGTCTTGAAAAAAGAGGATGTGACAGGTGGGCATGGCAAGAGGGTTCTGACTGTCTATTTCATGGCTCTGTAACCAAACAAGATTGAAGGCTATGAAGATTTTGCTTTGCTTGAGCAATGACAATAATGAGTAATTTATATTATATTTTGTACTTATTGGAGGGGTGTTGAGTAAATTATAGAAGAGGAGATGCCTTGAGAGAAAATGTCACAATTCTCACACTAGGAAAAAATACGGATTTTTTGAAATACTGCCTTATAAAATTAAGAAATTAATACTCATATACTATTAAAATATGAATTATTAGCTATGATTTTATGGCATACTAATTGGTATAACATGAACAAAAAAGTAGTTTAATAAAATTTTCAATGTAACTCTTAAAAACTTGTGACATGTGCAGTAAAAGATGCCCATGGAGAGATGGTTAAAGATAACTTTAAAAACTGCAAAGAGAAAAAAACTTCAGCAATTTCATTCATAACTGAAAGAAATATATGAAGTATGTTTCCCACACAACACACTTCACTTAACAAAATTGCCAATGTTTTAAAATTTTCGAAATAAAGTTGCTTAAATACAAAGAGTAAACAGCATTAAATATAATTACACCTACATGTATACACAAATGCACATACAGGTACATATACACACATATGCAGGAAATACAATCTCCTATTTCACATACCTGTTGAACACTGCTTTCATGTGTGAGAATACAAGCTTATTATTAGTACATCACAAAACAGAAGTAAATTACTAACCTGGCAGCTTATTTATATCTAAGCTCAACTGTCTCTTCTCATCATATGACATTGGTTTTGCACTATCCTCGTCCTCACTGTCAAATACCACAGGTGCACTTTTACTGCTCTTTTTTGAAGATTTACTATTTGACTTTGCTCTTTTAATCTGTCCTGCAGGTTTACTTTGAGCATGTGCCTTTGTATTTGTGTTCTTACTTTTACTTTGTTTCTGACTTTTATTTTGATGTGCTTCTTTTGCAGGTTGAGGTGGTGGTGGCACTGTGTTGTTCACTGATACAACAGAAGGCTGGAGAACTGCTGATGATTCTAAGGTTTGGACTTCTGTCACAGGTTTTATTTCCTGAAAAGTTTCTTCAGGGATTTTTTTTTTCTTTTTTTTCTTCTTTTTTCTTTTGCTTTCTGCTGCCAGTAGGCTTAGCTGTTCGGTAATGGCCCGCAACTGAAATTAAAATGAGCATTTTTCTATTTAACATTTTCTTTCTCTTTGCAACAAGCAAAATCATTTGCCAAGTTGAATAAGTAGGACTTATCCTTAACTTACTGAATTTGGAGATAAGTTATAAAACTGGACAAAGACCTATATAACAGAAAGCAGAAATAAACTAGACACAAGCAACAATAAAATCTGCAGAGAAAATATAGTTCTCAGTAAATGTGGAAAGACATCAAGAGAAACTGTATATCAGTAATAAAACCTTTAAGCATTAGAGAAGCATTCACCATATCAGACCCAGCAAAACTGTGCATGCAACAGCCTTAAAAGTAAAACAGGAAAGAACTAGCAAATAAAAAAAGAATACCAGAACACTTAACAAATATTAATGGTACAAGTACAAATACTACATATGTATATGATGAAAGATCTGTTCTAAACTTTACTATATAGCAAATACTCTACAGAAAAGCAGTAAAAAATGTATATACTTGTGCAGTGGGAAGAAATCACTGCTGATGAAAATTCTACATTAAAATGCCAGTTATATAACATTAAAAAAATTAATGGTTGGCATAATGCATATTTAATACAAACTAAAAATCTATATCTAGCAAGGAATTGCCTGAACTAAATAATTAACTCAAAACATAAAATAACAGCAACTCTTACAGTTGACGAGTTATGATTTTAATAATTATGAAGTTTTGACCCATAGTATCAAGTCATCATTAAGTAAGAGTTACACTCATAATGAGTAGCATATTTGGTCTAATAATATATGACAAACTGGTAATCATAAAACAGGTTTTTCTCTGTGCCTCTGTATGTATCGGTACATGAAAGATTAACAGGTATTACTACAATATTGATTTAGAATATGACTACCAAACTGTATACAAATCCTAATGAACATTAGACCTGGGTGAGTAGTGGAATTTTGACAGTCAATTAATCTTTGGCCTCATTAATCAATTATATTCACCTAATAGATTACTTTCACATGAGACTTGGATAGCTGGAGAAATCATTTTTGACTGACCTTGTAACCACCATTTATACATGAGACTATACCTACTAGAACTGTCCTAAAGTATGTCTTCATAAATATTTTAATAATAATATATTTATAAATTTATAATATTTTTATAAATATTAAACTAATGGATTAAAATTGCTTGAATTTTTTCATGAATGTTGCCAAGAATATAAAGTTTAACAAGATAC